AATACCCCCCCCCCGGGGAAATGCCAAATGCCCCCCCCGGGGGGGGGGGGGGCTGGGCGCAGCTGGAATTGACTGATGCGCTATTTTTCACCCATAATATAATAGTATACTCGTGAAATTATTCCCTAATTTTACTCGTCACCATTTGATTACCCATATAAAATTTTATAAACAAAACGAAATTGTTCCAATTCCACAGATTTCAAAAAGACGGCTAAAAATGAGCTTAAAATGGTTTCTTCTTAAATGTAACCAAAATCTAGCCATAAAAATTATATTTAACACTTCTAAAGCAGACGTTTTTTGTGTTGTTAACATCTAAGCTTGGCGTTTGACATTTTCAGCTGAAAAAAAAAAACCATCTGGCATCCAGGGTGGTAGTTAAAGGTATCAGAAATCAAAGTCTTCCATCAGCGCTTCGAGTCACTAGAATTCTATATACATCTGAATATCAGCAGGAAGTCTAGTTCTAACTGTTCAGTATATGCCTAAACAAGCGCTTCCTAGACGAGTAAATGCTACTTATTCTGAAATACAGTCAATCGAACGCGCCCTAAGATTCCCGACATGTCTCAAAGCAATTGCTACTTACACACACAGTTAAAATATCTACAAAGAGTGTCGCTTACGGTCGGTTCACGAATACCACTGGCGTCCGCATCACTTTAAACGTTTTCTTAATAAGGCTTCAATTCTTTCTTTAAAAAACTGGTTCGATTGCACTATAAACGGGTAATCTAGTAACTCTAAATGAGCGGGAATAATAAACTGCTCATATACCGCCAAACCACAACTTGTCCTTAGCGCTTTAAAAAACTAGTTAAATACCAATAGTTATAAGACTACTAAATTACAAAATTTTCAAAACTATTTTAAATCCGGGCCGGGTAAAGGGAAAGCAGCATCACCGAATGTCTTGGTATTAAAGGTGCTCTAAATGAGCGGGAGTAGCTTTTATTATTCATTCAAAATATTTCTCCGTTCTCGAAAGACCCGGAAACCTTTCGGGCCCGAAGGCAAATTTTTAAAATCAAAACCTGTTGAATAGTGGCACAGTTCCTAGCCCACAAACCATTCAGTTTTATTTCGGTAGCCGATAGTTTCATTGTATTATTTTCAAAATTATTGAAACTTTGGTCTTGAATGAAAACACAACAAATGCAAAACAGTTTTCCTGGTCCGAAAAGTTACCGGGACTTTCGAGAAACAGGCTCCTGATTGGCTAAAATCCCACGCATAATTTCATAACCAGTCACTGTCGACCAAATGTGGAAGAATTTTGCGATATGTGAACTGATGACGTCAATCGTACAGCAAAATTGCCAGATTATTGAAGACCTGAGGACGAGGTTGAGTTGTTTAGGTAGTTTTAAAAATACAAAATAGCGGAACATTTCACTCTTTCACGAGGGAAAAAATAGGCAAACTCTTTGCGAAAAACATAGCAAGAACAGCAAGAAGACAAAAAAAAGAAAACACTATCTGCTATTCTGAGAATATTTGCAGCGAACAACCCTTTATCTCCTAAACTTGCCCATAAACATGCACTATCGAAGATGAACTTAACATCGACGGAGGTAAGCATGTTTTAGCTTGTTTTTAAACTATGAATTATTTGAATGAATAATAAAACAATTATCGAAATCGGCTTTCGTATCATCTGAAGAATTATGGAGATCTCGGAGGGTGTTATCTGCCGAGGCCGCAACACCTTCCTCGATTCAATAATTGCTAATTATAGCTCAACGAAAATGTTAATTAAAAAATAAATTATAAAGAAAAGTGCCGTGTTTAAGCTAGAGTTCTTTTCTTAGCTACACGGCACTTTTGTTCATAATTTATTTTTTTAATGAACATTTTCGTTACTTCTATATTCTAAAGTGCTGTAGATATAATTAGTTACCTGTAATAACACCAAAGACTATTTCTCGTGTGAGCCCGAGAAACTAAATGTCAAATTTCACAAGCATTGTGAAAACCCAGGTAAAATTCTGAAACTTTCATGTGTAAGATGTCATTTTGTGAAATTTGACATTTATTTTCTCGGGCTCTCATATGAAATTTTCTTTGGTGTTATTACAGATAACTAATTACATTTATAGCTCTTTAAAAAATGTAAAAAAAATGCGATATTGTTTACATTATTCTGGTACAAGGTTTTTGTCCACTGAAAATTAAAATGACTCAATTTCCTGGTGGATTCCGTCTTAATGTACTTCTTAAATGAACTGGAAAGATTTGCATAACTAATATGTTCATTTAGAGAAAGAGGCATGCGTCAAAGATGACACCCAGGTCCTTTGCAGATGAAGGCGGCTGTATTTGCTCCTCAAAAAAGTCCACATAGTCCTGGTGGCCTAGCATGGAACTTGATGCTGAAAACAAGGAAATCTGATTTAGTTTTAGGCCATTGTGAACCATCCACGCGTTAATGTCCTTGACGCTCCCCTCAACTTTTCATTGAGCCACATTGAGCTCTGGATTCCAATCCGCCCTAAATATAAAGCTGGGAGTAATCAGTGTACAGAAGGTATTAGACACCATGGTACTGGATAATCTAGGCAATGGGTGATGCGTACAAAAAATAAAGGAGGGGTCCTAAAACGGATTGTCGAGGAACACCATTATCTAAACTGCGAGAAAATTATTTTTATAAGTGACAGTGCATAGTATTCAAAGTTTCTTTGGCCATACCCTTTATGCTGAGATTCCAAAAGAGGTACGAAAATGGTCACTTGACTTGAGCTTGTCGAACTCGGAACTTGCCTAGGGAAAAAAACAAAAACAGTACATAGTTTTCGATCCGTTTAATTCAAAAGCCACACAGTCCGGGCTAGAAAAAATGTCAGTTTTGTTCTGTGCTTCTCTCTGCATGTTTATAGAGGCCCAGACCTTACCTCTCTTCTTTTAAAAACTTTTCTGTGTGTGTCCCTGCTATGAGTGAAAATACTTTCCATACGTTTCCCCTTGATCCAACAAGGTTTATGCTTTTGTCTGTTTTTATAATTGAGTGAAAATTGTAACCAAAAGTTTATAAAAAAAACTAAGTTATTCGCACTGCACTTGCTGAAAAACGGCACCTCAGTCTGTTGTAACACGATTATACTCTCACTGCGTTGTCGGTAATCGACAAGAAAGTCAAGAAGGCACACAATTCGGAAATCAGTTCTTATATAGCCTCGCCTATAAGTTCTGCCAAGAATGCCTAAACAACTTGAAACTCCTTTGAGACCAAAATTTATATTATAATCTGGAGACAACAGCAAACAACTTAACTCGAAAAACTTGGTTCAGAATTTATGCATGACGTATCTCCTGCTACTCTCTAAGTGCTCCGTAACTTGTCATTAGTTCTTAGTTGCTCAAGGTCACGGTCTTACATGCACTGTGTGAACGTTGCCATCTTTGGCGTAATTGTGCATACAACGGATGCGATAGCAGCCTTTGCGGTGAAAAATAAAGAAACAAATCCTTTTTTGTGTATTGTTCTTGGCGTACGACGTTAAAAGGTTCCAAAGTTAAACTAATTAAAACAACGTCATGATAACAAGTTCAAAAACGTCATTCAAATCGACAGCTGACCTTTGATTGTCCTTTTTTCTTCGTTATCGCCAGATAGCCTTAACAGGATAACTCTGAAATTATGGTTAGTGTTCTTTTCACAAATGGCAATAAGACCATTCCAAGGAGAAATTGTCAAAGCGGTCAACTGACTCTCAATATTCAACACACTTAATTGCTGCCCAGATCTAACGTTGAACAGTCGGAGACATGTAACACTTGGTGGCTCTGAGGTTTGAACAACACATTCGTCGTTGCTGACAAAAACACTTTGGTCAGCTTCCCCTTTCCATAACATCTGAAGTGTACTTCCTGAATAAGCATCCAATAAATAAACACCATACCCTTGCTCCACCCCAGAAATGACGAAAAACTGGTCGTCCGGAGAAAACGAAAATCTTTCACAAATGAAGTTACGGTATCCAGAACGAGGCCAGTATTTTTTCCAGATAACTGTTTTGCCTTGTAACAAGACAATTGTCTGGCTACCCAAGGTGGCCAAAACCTGACATTTACTGTTGCATGCAATAAACTTTCCAAGGAAACACATTGCAAACTGTTCGAAACCACTTGAAGTATCAAATATTCTAACCTCGCGAGATGACGGCGAAATTAAACACACAACTTCCTCTGAAACGGGAATTACTCTTTTGAATTGCCCGAGACAACTCCAACTTTCAATGCACTTTGACAACTGAAAATTCCACAGCTCCAGAGTGCATCGTTCTTCTAAACATAGTACAAGTAAAACACCTTTTTTAACCGGAAAATACCGGAAAATCCAAAGTGTGTGCAATTCGTTTATCACCCTTAAGCCCCCTCTCTTGTGCTGGTCACCGTCTGAGCTGCTAATGTCATTGCCTTGTTCATTGACTTTCTCTGCTCTGTGCTCCTCACTTTGGTCATACTCATATTGCGTTTTTCTCCCCATTCTTGTCCGGAATATTGTCTGAGTCGCGGCCAACATTGTCTTGCGAAATGACTTTCGTAGCTTTGGGCTTCTGCTTTTGTGCCCGTCATAGTCTGAGCCGCTGCAATCATTGTCTTGTTCAGTGACTTTTGCAGCTCTGGGCTCCCTGCTCTCGTCCTGCTCAACTTCTGTCTGAGGTGGTATCAATGGCTTTGTCGGCCTTAAGCCCCCTTTCTTGTGCTGTTGATCGTCTGAGGTGCTAACACCATTGCCTTGTTCACTAACTTTGTCTGCTCTGAGCTCCTCTCTTTGGTAATGTTTACGGTGCTTTTTTCTCTCCATTCCGGTCCGGAATATTGTCTGAGTCAGCTTTGGGCTTCTGCTTTTGTGCCAGTCATAGTCGAAGCCGCTGCAATCATTGTCTTGTACGCTCTTATCCTGCTCAACTTCGGTCTGAGGTGGTATCAATGGCTTTCTCGGCCTTAAGCCCCGTTTCTTGTGCTGTTGACCGTCTGAGCTGCTAATGTCATTGTCTTGTTCACTAACTTTGTCTGCTCTGAGCTCCTCTCTTTGGTAATGCTCATAGTGCTTTTTTCTCCCCATTCTTGTCCGGAATATTGTCTGAGTCGTGGCCAACATTGTCTTGCGAAATGACTTTCGCAGCTTTGGGCTTCTGCTTTTGTGCCAGTCATAGTCTGAGCCGCTGCAATCATTGTCTTGTTCAGTGACTTTTGCAGCTCTGGGCTCCCCGCTCTCGTCCTGCTCATAGAGTTTTGATCTTCCCACTCTCGTCCCGGTCATGGTCTGTACTGCTGCCAAACTTGTGTCGGTAAATTCCCTCATCGGCTTTGCAATCCCTTCCTTGTCAGGTTCAATGAGTAAAGCAGCTTTACGGGCTCCACTTGAAACATCCCAGGCAGTAAACAAAACAGATCCACCCCGGTAGCCCTTACTATACACGGTATCCCCAGTTAGGGACAGTTTAAGGGAATTAAGGACCTTATCACCATCGCTGCATTTTGTTTGTTCATAGGGAAACAACATTTCTATAGAACCACTTCTTGGGTTACTTCTTAAAATAGATTGTTTGTTCAGCACAAACACGAATGTCCCCAAGGAAGGAGGCGAGGTTTGACTTCTACAACAGAGTGGATCTCCAAGCATGAAACCAGACCTACTGGGTGATTCCCATTCCCACGGAACATATGAAACATTCTCAGAAGCTACGTCAGGAAAAACATTTCCACCATTCGATGTACTGACAGTTAACTTAAAAAAGTCAGGGTGTTGATAACTGTAACGCAATGGACAATGCCAACAGTAAAGGAATCGGTGGTCAGGGGAGAACTTTATCATCCCACATATGCTCTGCAAGACCGTTTCCGCGACTAGTCGGAAATTACTCATCAAGTCAACCAAACAAACTGAACCATCTGAATGAGAAATCGCTGCAACCCTTCCATCCTGAGACCGAGCAAAAGTCAAGACGTTGTGATCTCTGGTGGTACGAGTTAACTCTGTACCATTCGAAAGACTCCAAAGGATAAGGCATTTCGCATTATCGGGACAGTCCGTGAGAATCGTATCACCAGATATTGAACAAACAGAGAAGATGCAGTTGCTTTCCGGAAAAAGTCTGTTTAGGTCTCCGTCAAAACTATAGCTTTCACTCAGAACTCCTGGCAAAACAAGCCTCCTAGTAGGATGAAACACAACAGAACGAAAACAAGACAATGCAAATGTGGATACTTCAGAAAGCGGTAATGAAAGGAAATGTGGCGAGAAAGAGGCTGGGGCAGCAGTCCTGAAGGCCTGAAAGAAACGGGAGTAACGCTTCACTTTGATGACAGGACGTTTCCAAACGAGCTTTCCAGTCTGAAGAGACCACAGCTGAATCGTTCCATCCCGACATTCACAAACCATGCAGTCTGACGAAGGTGAAACGTCAAAACAAGCCACTTCGGAGGAGCAATGAAATTTAGTTTGAACGGTTCCTTCCAGATTGTTCTTGTCTAAGTATTCCATGTGTGACATGTGAGAATACTTACTCTTCAAGAGGTTTGCTGCTTCATAACACAGCTCCGGTCCTCCTTCATTCAACAACGTTTGAAATATAACATGAGGCAGTTGTTTCAATGTACCAATATGCTTCCTTAAAAGAAACAACAAAGTCTTAGAGGCGGCCTGCCTTTTCACAGAAAACTTAGTTATGCAAGCGATATCTTCAGCGGGTATTGCACTATCTACGCGCAGCTTTGCGTAAACAAGCTCCACATCTAGGACATACTTATTTACAATCTCTTCAAGGCCGCTTGGTCTGATGTCTTCATCCAGCTGAAGCATGTGTTGAACGCCATGTCGCAGAGAATACTTTGTGACGTCATCGAACTGTTGTGACCAATCAACACCTTTTCTTTTCACCTCATCAAATTCATTACCGCAAAGACGAGCAAGAATGAGGTGGCCTTCGTTTTCCAAGACGCTGAAACTGTGCTTACCATAGCACGACTGATCAACTAACCAGTCTTTGACTGACTTATGAAAGAAGTGAATACACCCTTCTTGAACAGGCAGAAGCGACGATATGCAAGCAATGGCCTTGCTTACCTTTCGCTGAACAACTGAGGACACTTTGCCAGGGAACAAAAATTTAGACACAAAGCCGAGTGGCAGTGGTTCTCGTGACGCTACAATGACACTCAGAAGGCTTAAAAACATGTCTTCAGACATCTTGAGTTCTTTGCATAGTTCAGTCTCTAGACGTTTGAAATAAGACTGGTAAACCGACGAAATACCCGACGGTATGGTGCCATCAAGGTGTTCCCAATTGAGAACTGAGAAATTGTCCTTTATGAAATCTACCAGAAGTTGAGCCCATAAAATCACTCCTTCCGATTTTTCAACAAGTTCGGTCAAGATCGACTCATGATTATTGACTTGCAACATATGGCTCAAATGTCTTTCAAAGAGATGGCGAATGTCCTTCATGTTCTCTTCATTGTTTGGCTCCAGCAGAAGGGGTCGAAGACCTTTCAGACTGTCCCAAATGTTTATTTCTGGCCGTGTTGTCACAAGGAATCGGATCCATATCGGGAGCTTGTTAAAGTACTTAGCAATTACTTCTAATAGCTCATTCCTTCCTTGGTATTCACTTTCATCTAAGGCATCAATTACAACAAGAGAGGTAAAACCGGGGTCACTTAATCTGTTTAGTGGCTCTTCAAATAGCAAATCAAACAAATCTTCCGTTTCCATATCATTGATATCCAGACCCAGATTTCTCGAAAGCTGCCCCACAAGGGCTTCTTTGTATTCTGGAAGAGAATACGACAAATGGCAAGCTAAGGACTGGAGCATCATCTTGGGATTCCTGTGACGCATCCTGTTATGTTGACAAAAATGGCTTCCTAACAGCCTTCTATTTTGTTGCAAACGTTTGGAAATTTCAGCTGCAATAACAGACTTTCCCATTCCTACATTTCCAGCAATCACCATCACTCGATGAAAAGAGTTGATGTCATCTAACCAATTCTTGACTTCGGTAAAAATCGACGCTCGTGTCCCCCCTAAATATCTTTCTGAGTGGTATTTAATAATGTTTTCTGTGTCCACCTTGGCAAGTTGCTTAAGGACATCTTCCTCCTGGCCTGTGTTGAGTTGGGCTTGACGTATTTCCGTAACAACTTGATGTACATCCTCTAGCTTGGTTTTGCTTTCCTGGAACGTTTCATTAGTCTTCAGAAGAGTCTGTTTCATTTCTTTCTGAGCTTGACACACGTCCTTTAACTGTGTTTTGATGTCCTCTTCACTGTCAGCCCAATCACGTAATGCGTCAAGATAATCCTCCTCTGCGCCTCGCTCTGCCTTCAGTCTGTCAATTTCTGATTGTTGTAACCCAAGAGCTAAAAGAAAGGCACTGATTTCTTGTCACAGAACGGAGAAGGAATGAGTATCAACACCAGTACTGGTCACATGACCATACAAAACGTTACGGAAATACTTGACACGAGCAAGATTCGCCTCGTGAGAGTTGTCACTAGGGGGTGGTTTAGTGTGCCATCCAGTAAGGGGAGGGGCCAATCCACAAATGTTGGTCAGAAGAAGGAATAAAAGAGTGATGTCAAACGTGCTGGAGTCTGGCATGGCTCCTCCAGGCGGGAAGAGTTTGTCCCACTGATGACCATTTAGAACTCTTCGCCGCAAGAGGTTGTTAAGAGCGGAATAATTGGCATTGAGATCAGCAGCCAAGTTGGCTGGAGGATGATGATAATTGAAAACATTTCTTAGAACTGTTGTTCCACCATCGATAAGAAGCCTGCTTAGCTTGGATCCATTTGTCTTTTCTTCAGAGCTGGCCAGGGGCGATGGTCCTGCAGCTGCCATTCGACAGTAATTATAACTGATCGGCTGCAAGAAAGAAAAAGTTAACACTGTTAATACTGAAATCTCAAATACATGCACGCAGTGAAAACACAGTGGAACTGACACCTTATTCTCATGCACGTCACCCTACGCAAATGAATGTGGAGAAAGGATGCAGCATTCGAATAGAGTTTGGATAAAAGGAAAAAGATAATTGTTAATACAATATGCTCAAGACCTTGGCGCAATATATTGGTGACATCCTGCTACGCCCACCCATCACTCCCTCAGTGGAAGGGGGGAGGGCTTGTTATGAAGCAAGAGTGTGGCGTGAATGTGAGATGGCGTGATTTTATTCCTTTTAAATTTTGTTATTAACGGTTTCACTCGTCTGTCAGAGCAACGGAGAAGTTGCTGACAGATCGGATTAAAAACTAAAGCTTATAGATTCAAGAAAGTCACGATTTTGTGTAGTGTGTGAGCGAGCCATTGTACTGTGAGGATTGAAGCTGTGAAATAAACCCTGTTTTGCTTAAAACTGTGATATCGTGAAGAACGGCCTTACGGCATTCACGACAGGGTCGAATAAACATTGTTTTCTTTGGATAGTAAATTCCCTGGGGGTGAAGACTTCATTAGTCTTGCTCGTTTTAGCAGCGAGACTCTTAAAATGAAAGCGCTTTTTATCGTATGTGCGCGCCAAGAGTGGTCATTGTCCCAGGAATTCCTAGCGGAGTCCGTGGAACCTGGGGATAGGAATGGCGGCATGACGAAAGCCATGCATATAGAGCGTAGGAAATATTAATGCAAAATATGTCGCGCTTTGCGGAACAAGTCGGTTCACAATTTCTATGGCTTGAAAGCGTTAATTACTTTGGAACAAGTGATTACTTCAGTGGTCGAAAAAAATAATCTTAATGAGCAAAACGTCGATGGTGAACTGGTCGGGTGTTGTAAACTTTTATTGTATGCAAACGAAGCTTGTGATGAGCACGAGGTTCATTTTCGGCGATGGTTAAAACGACGCGCCCTATTTATTACGTTTTTGATGTAATTTCTCTTGAATCGAGGCCCTTGATTTTCGAGTATTTACACACGCGTACTTACAAATCGTCGAATACGATATATAAAGTAAATATCCTGAAGAATACTCGACCGTTGTTAAAGTAGGGAGTGAAAAACTTTCGCGAGGAAATTCTGTCTCATGTAGAGGTCAGTGACGGCCGTGGGATTATTAAATTAAATCGCCTCCTCATTTCTCATCTAAACTCCAAGCACGCTAGACTAAACGCTATTAAGAGCGTTCTTGTTTTTTGTTTTTCACGTGCGCGCCAAAAGGGGTCATGGTTCCAGGCGTTCCTAGCGGAGACCGTGGAAACTAGGGATAAGAATCGCAACGTGTCACAGCAACATGTTTTTATTTTGCGAAGAAAGCTTAGGAAAGATTGATGCAAAAGACGTCGAGCTTTTCCGGACTTTTCCACGACTTCTATAGCTTGGAAGCGTTGATTACTTTGGAACAAGTGAATACTTCAGTGAAAACTTCGATGGAGATGCTATAACTAAAATTTCATTGTACGGAAATGAACCTTGTGATGAGCATGCGGCTTATTTTCGGCGATGATTGAAATGCCGCGCCACGTTCATCACGTTTTTGGTCTCGAGTTAATTTTCGCGTGTTTATAGACGCGTAATGATGGGAATCGGCTGAGATTTTATCATCGATCATCGGAAATAATCAGATTGACCCAAAAGATCGATCATGCGATTATAATCGGAAAATATATTAATAAAAATCTTTTGATAAAAAAACTCAGCCGCCATGTTTGATCAGGACAACATTAAATGGGACAACGAGGAGAAAACCCTGGGAACCAACGTAAGTTTCTCTTCGATCTTCGCAAGCTGTTTATGTCTGTTTTGCTTTCATCTGCTCTTGTAACCTTTCTGATCGAAGAAAGTAAATCTAAAAATGTATTTTATGACCAGCTACTAATTTAGAATAATTTCTAAGACAACCATCAAGGTAAATTTTTTTCCGTATGGAATAAGCACTATCAAATGCGAACAAAATGCAGAACCTAGCCTGGCGCGAGCGTGCTTCGCTGAGTTTTGGAAAACATTAAAAATGTATGAAACGTAAGAGAAAGAGATATTCAGTGGAAGCTGCTGTGGCAAGTCGATTAAAATGCGCATACAACACACAATTTTTTTAACGTTTTTATTTGTCATCAATAATTTTTTTTCACTTAGGTATTTAGGTATTTTATTTATTTGCCACACGATTACAATAATTACAAAAAGATGCCAAAAAAAAAATGTAGGAAGAGATGGCGAGGAGGCCTAAAAGAAACTATAGAGCTTATGTTAATTAGGCCTCCTCAATTACA